AGTGATATTTTATTGATTTCAATGAAACCGAATTTTAAAAATCACATTTTTAAATAAAATTTTCCAAAAAGGAAAAAATCAGCTAATTAATTAGTTAAATTGTTTATACACATATCATCACAATTTTTCAATCGTCCTCTTGAGCGTCTTCCTCTTGATAACTTTCCAAATTACCTTCACAATCGAAAATTATAAGCAAATACACATTAGAAGCACTGTCGAATCTGATATATGCCAACGAATGAAACACATTTTTTTTAAATTTTATTAAAGAATTAATTAAAATGCAATTCAGAGACACAATATCACTGCCCTGTGTATTTTATTTAAGATAATAAATAGGTTGAGCAACAACTAAACTGTGAACAACTGTGATATGTTCGTTGAATAATTTTTCATTCTGTGAGCTTTCTGTGCCAATTTTTGGGTTTTAGTGGTGGGTTTTTTTCTCTTCTTTCTTATAAACTTTACATTTTACACTTTTCCATTTAACTGCATAAAGGCTAAGGCCATAAATTAAGAATGCAATTTTTGTCTTTTCTCAGGGCATAATATATCAATGTCTTTTTGCGATTGAAAAACTGGACGGCATTCCATTTAAACTCAAACCAAGCGGCTGAGAATAAAACTGAATTTATACGAAATAGCGCTCACAGATATGTGTCGGTCGTCTCTAACTGACACACAAGATATGCATAATTACAAAGCAATTGAATGTCCATAAAATGTTTGTTAAGTTATGTTTTATCAGTGATGTACAAAGCACACGCTTATTTTCGGCCATAGTCAAGTTTATTCTCAACTGGGTGGAGTAAACATTTTTTTTCATAAAAAATAAAAAAAAACAAACACCATAAATCGCCACTTTGGTTCCATATTTGACATAAATAATTCTGAATTCATTAGATTTTTTTTTCTTTAGACTCTAGGTGGATGTGTCGTTAAGAAATATTCTGTGATAAAAGAAAATGATTGATAACCAATGTACTTTTGCACATCAATATGTAGAGTTACGATTGTAATAGCTAAGGCAAGAGCATAAAATGTACGAGTGTGGATAAAACTCGTTTCATAAATGCATTTTTTTAACTGTCAACAGACAATATATTTGGATTTTGTCATTTGGATATTTCAGCTCATCTGGATAACGTTAAGCACACGTTCATATGAAGTGAAAACAATAGAAGTGATTGTTGTATTGTATAGGCACAAAAATACCACCATAACTATAACAATCACTCCTATTGTTTTCCATTGTTTTCATTTCGTATCATCACCTAACGTTATCCAGATGAGCTGAAATATCCAGATGACAAAATCCAAATATATTGTCTGACTGTCAACATTTTTCACGCCGGCCTGTCATCATATAATGTTAAGGGTTGAGCAAGCGTGAAACTAGGCAATGAAGAATATTGTGGAATTTTGACAATAACGACTCCGAACGGCTTTTTTTTATTTTATTGAAAGCGTCGCATTGTATACAAGCATTCTAAAAATGTTTGCAGCAAAATGATTAAATCTACGAAATGGCGTGCATTGGAACCAAAAAAAAAAATAATGAATGCAAAGAATGACCATTTTTTTCTCGGGATATGGCAGAAAATGAGGTTTGAAATAGAATTGCATTTTACCACATAATACTCAACATGAAATGATATCAATTTATTCAAACAAATGTGCAAACAAGATCAATTTTAATAGAAAAAAGCGTGAAGTCGGCTTTAAAACAGAGAAATGGCATTCATTTTATGGTGATGCAGTTCATTTTTATATTACATCGTTTCACATTTGAAATGGTTTTTACTTTTTGTATACATACAATAGCGACGTGCTTTAGTCGCGTTTATTTCATTCATTTGTCATCATTTGCAAGCAAATAATTTGCGTTGCAATTTGAATGCCACGAAAAATTCATTTGTCTTGCACACACTTGATAAATGTGAAATGATTTGTATACAGAGAATTTGAGCGAGTAAAAACATAATTAAGGCGGCGATCTATAAATGAAACGTACAATAGACGTAGAGCATAATATGTTTTATTTTTCTTAAAGCCGCATGTTTCGGTAAAGAGTATGTATTTCAATGACTTGGTTCATAGGTGTGCATGCCAAAGAGTTTATAGGGAGCAGGTAGTGACAATAAAACGGATGGAATCTCAACAGAGTCGATTCTATGTAAAAAATTGGGATCTTAATTCCACTGGGATTGAAATTGATGGGCAAAGGGCGGGGGAAAGATTTTTTGTCAAAAACCCAGAGCAAATCGAAAGAATTTTCAAAAACTAAATTCCATCTTATTTAAAATTACTTGGTCGGGTAGCTTCACGGAACGAAGAAAGTAAAAACGCAGAAACACTAAAACGCAGAAAAATAAACGCAGAAAAAATAACACAGAAAAAAAATCGCAGAAAAAAAAACGCAGAAAAAATAAACGCAGAAATCAAAAATGCAGAAAAATAAACGCAGAAAACAAAAACGCAGAAAAATAAACGCAGAAAACCAAAAATGCAGCAAAATAAACGCAGAAAACCAAAAATGCAGAAAAAACGCAGAAAAATGTAAAATAGATAGATAAACCGTGATGGTTGACCTCAATAGCAGTGTTAAATGTTGTTACACTGAGATGGACATGTCAGTCGAGATCTCATTTTAAATTCCCAAGATTTTTAAGACAAAAATATTTTTGTTCAGTCTATCAAAAAAAGAAACCTCTGTCGAGATGAAGAACGAAAGACGAAAACAAAAGAAGCCATAAGAAAACCATAGATTTATTGCCTAAAACGATAAAAAATAAAATTCACATATAGCTGGCGCTGCATTCTATGCAAACTTGTTTTCGGTTGCAACGGACTAAGTGGAAAGTATACGCTTATTACATAGAATGTAGTGCCAACTATACGTGAATTTTATTTTTTTATCATTTTAGGCAGTAATCGCTTCTTTGAAACACAAAAATTCTGATATCAATTTGGTAACGAAAATAGTTGGTAGATATTTTTTTCTGTGTATTGTGAATTAAAATGAATATATATTTAGAACGTTGATTACACTTAAAGTAAAATAAAGAGTTTTAGGAGGTACTCTTAATTTTGATTGTTTCTTCAAACTTTCAGAATGTTATTTTTTTGTGTTGAAAATAACCTGTGCAAAGTTTCACATCATTAAGGTAGCATAGGTTTTATAATGTTTTGTTAGAAAATAGAATACTTTCAAATGTCATACAAATGAGTTCATCATGAAAGTGTGAAAAATCTTTTACGAGTACTTCTGCTATTAAATTAAAGAATATTTCAATGCTAAAGTTTGAACATATTTTTTGGCCTCGAACTTAACGCCGCTTGAAAGGCTTTAAAAATCGAACAAATATTATTTTGAACTAGCTTAATAAAATACGCATCTTCCACCGTGCGGAAAAGTTCGTCTTACTCCTGTAAGACTCTTCATTTTACTTTAAGTGTAATCAACGTTCCAAATATATAAATGTATATTCGTTTTAATTCACAATACACAGAAAAAATATCTACCAACTATTTTCATCACCAAATTGATATCAGAATTTTTGTGTTTCAAATTTTGTTTCCGTCATTCGTTCTTCATCTCGACAGAGGTTTCTTTTTTTGATAAACTGAACAAAAATATTTGTGTTTTAAAAATCTTAGGAATTTAAAAAGAGATCTCGACTGACATGTTCATCTCAGTGTAGCAACATTTAACACTGCTATTGAGGTCAACCATCACGGTTTATCTATCTATTTTACATTTTTCTGCGTTTTTTCTGCATTTTTGTTTTTCTGCGTTTATTGTGCTGCATTTTTGGTTTTCTGCGTTTATTTTTCTGCGTTTTTGTTTTCTGCGTTTATTTTTCTGCATTTTTGATTTCTGCGTTTATTTTTTCTGCGTTTTTTCTTCTGCGATTTTTTTTCTGTGTTATTTTTTCTGCGTTTATTTTTCTGCATTTTAGTGTTTCTGCGTTTTTATTTTCTTCGTTCCGTGAAGGAACCCTTGGTCGGGAATAGTACGAAACAAAAGAGCTCCTCAGCTTTTGAGAGTACTTAGGGAGTCCTCTTCTCGGAATTTTTAGAGGCAGTTTGTGGCAGTTTATCTAACTTTACCCAAAACACGACGACAATGACAGCTGGGCAACGCAGCAACTTCATTATGGTTGCCACTGTTTATGTTGGGTGGGACAAATTTGTACCATTTTTAATTCAGGCGATCGAAATTTGTGCCATTTTTTAGTTTCGCTGGCGTGCGGTTGCCATGGCGCTACTGTCAACGTTGCCGGATTACGCATGATGGAGTAGGTGGGATGATAAAGTCCAGTAGAAGTGATTTTGGAATTTAATTTCATGGATAATCACGAATTAATATGGCGGATATCGTTTCATATTTTTGTTAAGTTATCAATATTTTGGCTGAGTACTCTTAATTTCGCCACAATACATTTTTTTCATAGTGAATATTTTTTTTGTGCACTTACCTACACATTCTCAACATTTAAATAAAACCATTCATTATGAAAAAAAAAATATTCCGTCAAAATTATGGCATACTTAACTGCCAATATGTTTTCCCCATTTGGATTTATCAAACTCAATGTGTCAAAAATCAATCATTCATTATTTCGAATAAATGGCACAAAGAAAATATCGTATTAATTCAAGTTAAATATTTTCATCACGTTATCCATAACTCGAATCAACCGCAATTCCCTAATTGGTTTCAACATTATCCCCATGATTGTTGAACGATAGGAAAATGTTGTAATTTTTTATGTTCTCTACATGGCGTTACTAATTGAATAAATAGTGAAACTAAATTAGATAAATCTATTGATAAATCGGCAGAAAGTGCTAATTACATTAAGTTTCTGTTTTTCTATCACGTTTTCAAACACATTTGAATCTTGAATGTTTTTCCAAAAATGTAAAAAATCACATTTCAAATTACAGTTAAAACACAACGCTTCTTTTACTTATTCTAGATTCTTGCTTACCTGATTTCCAAACACACCGATGCTACATGCTGATGATACTTGATCTGGACCGAACCATACGGCCGCAACACGCGCTGGCAGTGAAAGAATAAATACCTGAATTGATCACGGATTAAAAACAGATTATTTATCAAATGTCAAAATATTACCAGCACGCTTTGTGTAAATTCAATTTTAGATTTCATGAGCGAAAACAAAAACGTTTGATTACATAAACGGATTCTTTAAGTGAAAATAAATTTAAATAACTGAATTGTTCTATTCTTGAAAAGAAGAATAAAGAAAGTTCAAAAAAAAAAGAAATAAAAGTCCTGTCAACTAGATAGTATGTATTATCGCGATTTAAAAGAGACTTTATATGTATATTAAAAGTGAAATGAAAAAAAGGTGCAAAATAGAATTTCGCTTACTTGTGATGCTGCCACTATGGTTTGTCCAATAAATCCAACGTAAAATAGTCCGGGGTCAACTGAAAAAACTTTAACCCATGCTCCAATGCAAGTACCGAATGCACCACATAATGCTGTCACACGTAAACCCTTATCAATTTAAAAACATATAAATCACGAAAGCCCTTTGACAAAATCAGCAATTAAAAGAAATGTATAGCTCTACAAATGTCGTCCACTTAAAATTGCATGTGATTAGCTATAGTTTTATGATGAATTTAACGTCCTAATTTATGATTTCACACATCTGATACTGTTTTTGCAGATGTTGATGTGATTCAATTTATTATGGGCAGAAAAAGTGGTCAAAATTTTATTCAAAACATTTCATTCGTACTGTAATTAATGTGACACAGTTGTGAGGCACGAACAATAATTCTTGGTCGCGAATTCGTGACCGTTTAAATTCAATACACCATGTAATAGGCAATAATGAGGAAATTTTGGGGAAATTTGTTAAATGTGAATATTAACATTTTTGTGCTAGATTCACTTTATTTTATTGACTGAAATCAGACATTGGGCTCGAGCTATGCATATAGCGGCTGCTATTTCATAGGCGCTATTTAATTCGTGCGCTGTGTCTAACACCGAGTAGGAATATGATAGCCTACTATTCTTTTGTACATTTGAATGTGAGTACGAGAGAGATGTAGAAAATAACGCATAACATGCACAAACGCATTAAAACGAGTTAAATAGCGGCTATAAAATAGCAGCCGCTATATCCATAGCTCAAACCTAATATCTGACTGAAATTTAACATGAAATTGTTTCGGCTACCGCAAAATTATGATTGACCTATTGGTTGAACTTACAATAACATGATCCCAAACGGGAAATACAATCGAATGAACAAGCATTCAACACCATTATAAAATGGTTCTTATTGTAACTTCATACATAAAAGCCTCTCATAATAAACTACAAGCGATCATATGAAATTATCAAAAGTGTGTAAATTTACTCAAATGAATGCACATATTCGTGTATATTGTAACGAAATAAGTTTATTACATAAGCTTAACATGGTTATTTAATGTGAATTATGTATATTGAGTACACTTTCATTGCATTCACATCAAAATTCGATGACGTCCTTCTATGGTGTACACACACACTACACTATATGTTATTATGACAACTTAATTAAATTTATTTTCTCAAATAAAATGTGGATAATGTGGATTTGTGTTTTACTACACTTGTGTTGGGTGCGTGTATATATCAGAGTGTTCAAATCGGATGGCCGCTGTGATGAAATCAGCTGTTGAGTGTGCATTGCATGAGACATCGTAGACTTTGTTCTTTGCACTGATTCTGCAAAATAAATGAACGGAATAATGTTCACGTTGTCACATGCTACGCACTATCAGACATTGTCAGACAATCACTTTAAGCGGGCGTATTTTATATACTGATATATCACACATATACATTTAAAATTATTTCTTGTGACACAATAATTTGACATCATAATGTCATTTATGCTCTAAGCAAGTACGATATCAAGCCAATATAGTGAAATAGAATATAAACGAGATTATCTTGATCAGACAACGTCAGAATGAACGAATTAAGTAATATTGAATATCAAAATTAACAATATCGCAGATGTTACTAAATGAAATAAATTCTATTTATTATTTCCGCTTTAAATATTTACGGTATATAACATCATATTCTATTTGAAAATGATTGACTTACTGGGTGCAAATTATAATGCCGTTAATGGAATTGCACACTTACCATTTTATCCAAAAACCAGCTGGCCGGGAAAATTAACGGAATGTAAATTATCATGAAGATCATCGATGTCCAATTGACCCAATTGTTCGACACATTGTAATATCTATTTACGAATGAAAGTAATTATACTCAATCAAAACACTAATTTATTGAATAAACTTTTACGATCAAAATATAAAACAAACAAAATCATGTTTGTTACAGGTATGCACCCAAAGGTCTCAAAACCCTCTTCCAAAAATTCCCAGGCCTATTTTAACGGAACCCAGAGTCAGGACCATTTTTGTTCTTCACCTTTTTCTGACTCTGTTCGTTGCCAGGAGCCTCTTGTTACCTTTATTTCTTAGATCCATACTATCTGTGTGTACGCCAAACTTTTGCCGAGATATTGCATTTTTTACAATAAACCTCTTTAAAATCTTTGGTGTGCACACCTATGATTATTGCACGAGCACGCCAAATGAATCTTGGCTCAATCACATACAAATTTACTGCTACTTTGAATCAAATTATCGGTTTAAACTTAAAGCGAAATTATTTGTCGATTAAAGAAAACCCATATTTTGCATGCAACTGAATAAATTAAAATTATTTCCGAACTTACTTTTCAACGATATTTGCAATGATGCTGTACTGAATCCATTGAAGAGCATTTGATGCCGAATAGAGTGTAAAGATTGCTAAAACTATCCATCGTCTTGTATACACTTGAAATTCGCCTATCATCCATGGTGCACAAAATGTGCATGACAAAAGAAAACAAAATGTAAAACTTTAGATAATCAAACATTGAAACTTATATATTTGCTTTCAGTTTTGAAACAATTGTAATCACTGTGTCTGAACTGCATTTGAGAATGAAAATGGTGTTGTGTCTAACCTTGATTTTGTGCTTCTAAATTGTTGCTGGAACCTTTGGGCTTGATAAAGTCGGTTGATTTGCTTCCGGGGATATAACTTTCCGACGGAACCGTCGTTAAGTCGGTTGAATGTGTCAGATCCATTTTAGTAGCTCACTTTTGGACTTTCAATTATTGAATATTTTCATAAAAGAAATTGGTAATTTTTGAGGTGATTTGAATTTGTCGCAAATGCTTTGTCGGTTTTGGTTGTCGTCAGTCAGAGCCTTGGCAAGATGTGGAATGTTTTCTTTGTTTTATTTTTTATCGAATGAGCTTTTTCTGTACTCTATAAAATGTTATTGGTTTTAAAAACGATGCTTGATAATAATCAATTGGTTTGGTGGTTTGTAGCAACAGATGGAATCTTATATTTGTTGCTTCGAAATATTTGTGGTTTTCTATTAGTTATTATTGTCTTGTGAGGTTTAAATCATCATTGGTTTCTTTGGCATCTGTTTTGGTTTTAAATCCAAACTCGTTTGGTTTGGTTTCTCATAAGCGTATCATATACTGACATTAGTTATAGCGTTATTTGCTTGGATTTTATGATTATTATGGTTCAGCACTCAACATCTGAAATGAAAAAAAGAAGAAGACATTATAAGCTGAAATTGTTTTATTTATTTCATTTTAAGTAATTGAGTTATCGTTGAAAATGAATGATTTCAACTACAATTTACAATATTCACAATCAATGAAATACTCAGACGATTTAATTCGATGAAACATCTCGAATATTGTGTTAATTATACGCTATAGTGTGCGGGTTCGGCATGTACCACTCATGAATGCTCTATATATTGTAAGTACAGTTGAAAGAATGACAGAGAAATTACCAAAGGTCTTCATTAGGCAACGTTCGATTTAAGTAAAATGTAAAAAGGATTTTTACACAGCGCTTCAAGTTGTTGTTTTTTTTTCTAACAATTTTCTTCCGCGACTCACGTGAAGTCTATAGATGCTCTATAACTGTAATTTTATTCATATTCTCTTTTTTTTTACTTTGTCAGAGATACTGAGTTCGAAAGATGGAAACGAATAAAATGCGAACATTTTTTATGAACCGTATTTATTGGAGGGTAATCAATCAAGTGAAAGGAATTTTCTACCTATGTCTTTATGCTTCTATAAAACCATTTGTTCGCATTGATTAAATAACAAAAAATCAAGTATTGGGATTAGGTTGACTTACAAAATGTTCTTTGGTGAAAAAAGTTAAAATACGAGAAAAAAATTCATTCGAAATTACAATGTAATTCGAAATTGTACAAAGGATTCACTTCCTCGTAAAACTTTTCTCTCGTTTTGAGTCTTGCACTACTTCATGAATTATCCACGCAATTTACAAAAAAAAAAAGAGATAAGGAAAGAGAAACGAAGGAAGAGGAAGTTTTTTTTATTAATTTTGTGCAATGATAAATGACTATAGTATCTTTTGTTGGGGCTGAATCAAGTGGAACTGAATAATTAAATTCATTGAGGTAAGCCAATATTAAATTTTAAAATACATGAATACTAGGGGGTTCCGACTTAAACGAATGATCCATATGCGAGCGAATTTTTCCTATATATTTTGCAAATGTAAACGAATGGTCGCAAATGTTTCTTACAAATTTTGCGAATGGTGGCGGATGTTTCATACAAATTTGCGGACGGTGTCGAATGTTTCATACACATTTTGCGGATGGCGCATATGAAAAGTCATATTTTTACATTCAAAAAGTCAAAGTGACAGATTAGGTGACAGAGATTCAAGCCGAATTGATATTTTTTTTGGTAATATTGAGTGAAATTTTTCTAAAATGGTAAATAAATCTTTGCCACTCGTAATATTATCACTGTAAACGGTGCCTTGTGAAAGGTTTTTATTTTCATTGACGTAACTTTCAATTTCTTTTATATTATCTGAATTTATTTCTAAAATCTCACTTTTCGAATCGAATACGGCTTCTAAAATAATATTCAACAAATAATCTTGTATTTTTTCTTCAACTGTTTTTCAAATTTAGTTGAGAACAATGACATTGTGTTTGAAACTTCCACGACAAACTGAACACAGCAATGTGTATGTACAAATGTCACACGACAGTTTGTCGCATCTAGCAAGACGTATGCGGCATTCGCGAATGGTTGCGAATGAAATGTACGAATTTTCATAGATGTTGATGCGGATGAATATACTTTGCTTCGTATATTTCATGTATGAATAGGAAAATTTTCATATATTCCGTATAAAATGGCATTCGCATATAGTAAAATGCCCCTTGCATGAATAAGTAATGTCAAATGCGGTACATAAAATATAAATGAAATAAATCATGGCTCAATCTTGGAGCTTTGTTTCATTTACAAACCGTCATTGTGGTGCTGATGTAGTGTGCCCTTTTTTTGTACAGTTTTTCAATGTTAAGTCCAAACAAAAATGTAATTAAATCGATTAAGACGGTTTAATGACAAAAATACGTTCAGTTCCTTCTATTGATTATTTGGTGACATACAATTTGAAATCATGATGCTGAAAAAAAGGTATGGCAAACAAATGTATTTTATGGCATAAAATTGAGGTAATAATCAATTATGTGAAAGCACATTGGATGATGAATGTAAAAGTAGAATTGGGTGCACAAGTCAAATAGAAACGTCTACTGAATGTTTTTCACCTTACATTGCTCTCCCATACATAAATGGGATATTTTTTTGTTCGCTGAAAATATATTACCTAAATCTATACTCATTCATTATTCATTGTTTTTACAAAAGGTTTTATCGCCCAGCATATGGTTAGTTTATTCATTTGGTATGTGCTCTGGCACGGCGATAAAAAAATGTGTCAAAACAAACAATGTGTCATGATCAACCTCTTAAAACCTGTCAAGCACTTTAGCTCATTCAGAACACACCGACTTTTTCGGCGAAAAAATGCAATCGACAGCCAAATCACTTATCCCCAATGTTTTATACATAGTTTTATGTGTGGCCAATGTTACATCATTGTGTCGCCGTCGAATTTTATGTCCATTAGTATAGGGACATCGGTTGGCTCACAGATATTTTGGCTCACAGATATTCAACAAGCCAAAATTATTCAAATTATTTCCTTACTACGTCACAATTGGCGCTTGCGACAAATGAAAACAACTCAGAATCGTTAAAAAAAACCAAGGATTGTTCCTCTGAGGCGGAGGATCGGTGAGGAGGAAAATTAGGAGGAGGCGAGAGCTGCGGAGGATCCTCCTCTTCAAGTGAGGAGGAAACGTTTTTTTAGTTAAAAAGCTATTTTCATCACGAATAATGTATTTTTCATTTTTTGTTACAAAAAATGTCCTCCTCACTTGAGGAGGAGGATCTTCCTTGGCGCTCTCCTCCTCCTCATTTTCCTCCTCACCGATCCTCCTCCTCAGAAGAAAAGTCCCTGAAAAAAACTGTGATCGTCAACATCTGGGGATCGTCAAAAACTTGGGTTAACTTTATAATCATTTTGTACAAAGATAATTGGTATAAATTATAGTGACTTTCTCGCTGCTTGTTTATATATTTATATTACGTTCCAAACTTTTACCGCAATGATTTTTAACGAATGTGGCCATTGTTTTTTTTTCACACCACAAGTCCTACAAGTCTTATGTTTCAATTGTTACATACACATGCTAGCATATTCGCCTTGCAATTGATTGATGACCACACTTTGTGCAAAACTTTTCTCTGCTATATTTTTATACAGTATATTTCAGCACCACATTTTTTTCTCTCACTTTTTCCGAAAAAGATTCTAAAATAAACATTTTGAGAGTATTGTTGCAAGTCGGTCGAAACAGTAGATTATGTGCATAAGTTGTATCCTATTTTGATATATATCGGAAAATTGAAAGAAAAAAAACTCGTTTTTGAGCGGAGTCCAATGGAAAGAAAAACGCGAAAGAAAGTAAACACAGTTACGAACACTTATCTGAATGGTGTACAAAGTGAGATTTATGATTACCATTTTGTGTGTCCGCAATATTTAACAAATAGCAAGCTATCCTCTTTATCATAAGCTCATGGGAGTTCATAGAAGATTCTTATTTAAAACCTGAATGTCATATCTGAAGTTACAATAAGATTCTTAACAGCTTTGCATACGTTCTGCGAACACACACTTTTGATTTATAATTTGTTTTGCATTAAAAATTTAACAAGCTCAAACTCGTAAGGACAACAGGATTATGAAAATAAGCATTTTTTGAGTATTAAAAAGGACAAAGTTTTTGTTGAAAAATGTAATTTTCACACTATCATCATTTTGTTTGACATCGACATTCGCTAAGTAATCATGATTTTCGAATAAAAATCATATTTGGGAAGCATTTGTTTGTGATATACCAATAAATTAATAATAGAAAACTGTCAAGTACATAATAATAAAATACAGCATCACCAATCACCATTAATGTCGATACGTGCCCGTAAACTTAGCGCTCAACACATTTTATGCTTTTCCACATTTTCCACTGTTTTACTGGTAAAATGAACACATGTTTTCGGCTCGTTATCATCCCGCTGTCATTCGATTCCATATGTCGATACTCATTTTGCATGTTTAATGTTAGTGTGTTACGTGCCACATTGGCTTACTTGTGTGCTTTCCTACAAACGGTCTTATATCGAAAAAGAGAGAGAGAGAGAGAGAGAGAGAGAGAGAGAGAGAGAGAGCGGGGGAAAAAAGGCAAACACGTCATTTGAATGCAATAAATGCATTCAACCAACTCATTCATGTTCTTGCAATCGCAACTTTTGAAGTATTTTTCCGTGTTACCTCAACTTTCGTTCAATGCATTGCAATATGTGCATTGATGTTTTTCGTCAATCGATGTTGCTTTTTTAATAAATTCAAATTAGGTGTGTGTGTATGTACGAGATTTTAATTAAAATGCTTTGTTTGCTCATATAATCTTGCTTGCGGCTAATAATCGATTATTTAAATTAATAGCCGAATGAACAAGGGATACGAAGATGATTTATCAAATATATGCATATCCCAAATGGTTATGGAATATTGTGCACCGTTTGACGAGATAAATTCATTCTTAATTTTATTTGCTAATATAAACTAATTTCTTTTACTTAATATCAAGAAATTACGTATTCGATATGGTATTTATATTGCTTTTGATTGTTGTGCTATTTTCTTCATTTTACCATAAACTACGTAGTTGAATTGAATTGTACATACGCATTCATTGTATGAAAATTCTGCGAAAACTAATTTGTTGGGCAACCATATTTTTTTTTGGTTGTAAACATACAATTTTTCTTATTTATCCTTGTTCCAATTGGGTTTATTGGCTGTTTTTTGCTAATGCATAAGACGCTATTTTTCTTCAAAAATATTGTGGTGTGATGTTAACGATATTATTGCTAACCAGTGGTAAGTCAGATTCTCTTCATTTCCTTTCTCCAGTTTATTTTCCTTTTTTTTTGCTGATTAACAAATATCATCAAATTCCATAAATCATGAACATATCACAAAAAATGCAACAAATTTAATAATAATTATACTTTTATTATTGATTATTTACAATAAATAAAATTTCTTC